GCTGCGTTGCGAGAGCCAGGCAGGCCCGCGCCAAGGGCCCGCGGCGCCCCCGGGACCAGGCCACGCGCTCGGAGCGGCTCAGCCAGGCCACCCACCGCCTGCTGGGGCGCGTGTTCAGGCAGTGGGGCACCATGGTGGCCTCCCACCCGGTCTCGGTCATCCTGGTCTCGGCCGTGGCGGTGGCGGTGCTGTCCGGCGGGATGGCCTTTCTCCAGCTCACCACGGACCCGGTGGAGCTCTGGTCCTCGCCCGACAGCCGGGCCCGGCAGGAGAAGGACTTCTACGACCAGAACTTCGGGCCCTTCTTCCGCACCAACCAGGTGATCCTCACGGCCAAGGGCCGGCCCAGCTACACCTACGACTCCCTGCTCCTGGGCAGCCCGGCAGCCGGGCCCGGCAGGAGAAGGACTTCTACGACCAGAACTTCGGGCCCTTCTTCCGCACCAACCAGGTGATCCTCACGGCCAAGGGCCGGCCCAGCTACACCTACGACTCCCTGCTCCTGGGCAGGAAGAACTTCAGCGGGATCCTGTCCCTGGACGTGCTGCTGGACCTGCTGGCGCTGCAGACGCGGCTGCAGGAGATCGCGGTCTGGTCGGAGCCGGACGGCAGGAACGTGACAACTTCGGGCCCTTCTTCCGCACCAACCAGGTGATCCTCACGGCCAAGGGCCGGCCCAGCTACACCTACGACTCCCTGCTCCTGGGCAGGAAGAACTTCAGCGGGATCCTGTCCCTGGACGTGCTGCTGGACCTGCTGGCGCTGCAGACGCGGCTGCAGGAGATCGCGGTCTGGTCGGAGCCGGACGGCAGGAACGTGACGATCAAGGACGTCTGCTACGCCCCCCTGAACCCCGCCAACGCCAGCGCCGCCGACTGCACCGTCAACAGCCTGCTGCAGTACTTCCAGAACAACCGCACCCGCCTGACGCTGACGGCCAGCCAGACGCAGGGGGGCCAGGCGGGCACGGTGGACTGGAGAGACCATTTCCTCTACTGCGTCAAGTGAGTGCCGGCGCCGGCGGGGGGGCCGTGCGCATTCCCTGTGTGGCCAGGCCCGGCGAGGGCTCCTGGCTCCAGTTTTCTGGGAGCAGGTTTCCAGCCCTGCCCGGGGCACCTGGGCCTAGGGGCCGAGCTCGGTGGGCAGCCACGAGCCAGCCCAAGCTCTGCATGGAGCCGTGGAGGGAGACGCGGTGCCCCCCCAGTGCGGGCACTGCCAGGCTCTGCCTTGCTGCCCCATGGCCCATCCCAGAGCGGAGCCCTATCCCCAGCCCAGCACATCTGGTTCTGCTCAGCGACCCCGGAGGGCAGCGGGGGACCCCCATGAGTCCCAGGCCGGCTATGGGCCAGGGCCAGGCCTTGGGGGCTTTTGGCTCTCCCTGGATTTCCTAGAGATCGGGGCGCAGCCAGGTCTGGATGTCCCAGACACACTCCTGCCCGGTGCCAAGGGCAGAGGTCCCCCATTGGGCCCCATGGAGCTGCCATATCCAGGGGAAACTGAGGCACAGGCCTCACTGCCAAAAATTCTCACTTCCTTTCAGTGGGCAGCCCCGGGGGCTCCTGCTAGCCCCTCCCCTGTCACTTCCTTCCTCTGTCTGCTCACCCCCCTTCCGCCTCGCAGCCAACTGCCCCCTGCCTCCAGCCCCTTCCCTTTGCCCCGCCCCGTCCCTAGGGGGCACTGCTGGTGCAGAGCGGGGGTGGGGCTCTGTGCTGCAGAGGCAGTGGGGCTAGGGCACCCCGCGGTGCCCCCTCATGGCTCCCTCTGCCTCCCCAGCTCGCCGCTCTCCTTCAAGGACATCACCAACCTGCAGCTGAGCTGCATGGCCGACTACGGGGCGCCCGTCTTCCCCTTCCTGGCTGTGGGGGGCTACAGGCCCCAGCACCTCCCGCCCAGCCCTGCGGCACAAGTGGGGGCGCCGCAGCCTGGCACCGTGGCGCCGGGGACGTTCCTGGTGTGAGGGGGGGGCCGGGTTTGTTGGGCCCTAGCCCAGTGAGCGGGGCCCGCAGGCCCAGTGGGCCGAGGCAGGCAGGG